ACACAAGAACCTGATGTACATCAGTTGATTGATGGTTGAGAGGCGGGACGAAATAGATGATGAAGTTCAACCCCGCAAGCACAACTAGGAGAGTACAGGAAAAGACCCACCCCGCCAACACACACACACACACTATCGCTACATTTCCGCCACCCAACAGCAACAATCGTGCTGCACGATACTTTTGTAACTAGCTCATCAAGATTGTAACTTGCTTAGCTAAATGAATTGTGGGGTTCAGTCCCTGAGCCCATTATGTGCCTCTGTAACCCTTTCCACTACCGCCCGCAAGATGGGTATGGGGTGCATAATAAATGAACTAAACTAACGATACGCCAGGTTCTCCAAGTCCAGCATCACACAACATCATTTTTTGTAAAATCTCTTGTATGTATGTACCTTACCTGAATAAACATTTATTTATTTATATTTATTTATATCATTGCACCACAACCAACAATTTTCTCTCATCCTTTATTTTTTTCTTGCTATGTAACTTATCATTTTTATAAATTTTGCAAGTATTTACCTACTTAAAATTTTCTTAGATTAAGGACCTGCCCGAAACGCTGCGCGTACTATAGTGGCTTTACAAGATTGTAATTATTATGCTATGTATCCTCACAATCCCAATGTACCTTGTATATATATATATAAATAAAATAAAATATAGTATATAATCGTAATGGCTTGGCGCTTTCCCCTGATATTTCCCTTCGCTCGAACGCACACCGGTCCTGGTGTTTGTCAACAGATGGCAGCACCACTCTCTGAATGATCCATTTTCTATGGCTGGGTTTGTTTGCAATTAAAAAAAAATCGGCTTGTAAAAAAGAAAAAAAAAAAGAAAATTAAAACATCAACAGGTTGTATAGCATTAACTTACAAAATTATGACGTGCAGTGATAAACACTTCATATATGACGACCGTAATGTGGATATGAATGTTAAATAAGGTATGCTTGGACCGAGAACACCTGCAAGTAACGAAGTGGGACTAAAATAATTCTATAAATATATTAATATTTTTAAATACCGAATTGATAAATAACTTTACCATCAATTGTAATAAATAGAATTTTACTAATTGTATAATAAAGTATAGAAAATTTACCTAAATATTTTGGTAAATTACATAACTAACTGATTATTGTAGATTTTAATATCATATATTTGACATTACCTGATTGTAGGTTTATATTATCGTGTGCCTTAAACTAATGAGTAAGGAAAATAACGAGCGTTGGTGACGCTTCGCTCTACTAATATAATTTAGTAGAAATATTTTAAAGGGTACAGGTCGTCCCAGGCTCACCTACCTACTTTGTAGGAGGGCCCAGGAGTCAGCGATCTGCCCTACTGTAAAACTTATAATAAAATTTAGAAGTAATTATTCTCTAGAATAATCAACAACTAATGAAAACTATGAAATTTATCAATTATTACTATCAGTCGGATTGAATAGCAACCGGGAAATAAAAATAAATGGGCGGTAGAACTTTTTTTTTTTTCCCAGGCAGGTACAGGTGCGAACGACCTCTAACACCTGCTATAGCAGGCTGAGAGCTTTCCCTTCCCCAACGTACTACGGGCTCACCATAGCCCGTGCTACTTGGAACTTTTTGTTCCAGGTAGCGAATCTTAAACAACTTCCCTTCCCCTCGCATATACAACCTGTTCTCTAGAATAATACATAACATTTTGACGTCAAAATCCTCATCCTGTCATTTCTTGTTTTGGTAAAGGTCCAACAAATGGCTACTAGAGTTTAACTCAAGCAAGTGGAGTAAAAATAGGTGTAGGAAGCAGGCCATATACAATGTACCATTTGAGAGATAAAATCCTTTACAAATCAAGAAAGAAAGATCTGGAGGTTGATATCACGTCAGAGCTGTCCTCCTGAAGCCCACATCAAGAGGTTATTATCAACGGCATATGCTAGGTTGGCCAACATATGAACTGCCTTTAGAAACTTGTGTGTTGTAAGGAATCATTCAGGACCTTGCATACCTCATATGTCAGATCTTGCAGCTCCATCGCAGAGTCCATACCTAATCAAGCACAAGACGAACGTAGAGAAAGTTCAGAGGTGTGCCACCAGACTAGTACCCGCACTGAGAGGCATGAGCTACGAGAAAATTCCACTGGAATTAAACCTCACGTCACTAGAAGACAAGAGTTAGAGGAGACATTACCACCTGCAAGACTCTTAGGGCAACTAACAGGGTAGATAGACAAATTATTTAATTAATATGGGTGGTACACGCACAAGGGGGCACAGGTAAAAACTGAGTACCCAAACGAGCTACAGACACATTATAAATCATTTTGTCAGCGTCAGAGTAGTTAACAAATGGAATGTATTAGGCAGTGATGTGGTGGAGGCTGACTCCATACACAGTTTCAAATGCAGATATGATAGAGCCCTGGTGTACACAAGAACCTGTACATCAGTTGATTGATGGACGAGAGGCGGGACCAAATAACTAAAGTTCAACCCCGCAAGCACAACTAGGAGAGTACAGGAAAAGACCAACCCCGCCAACACACACACACACACACACACACACACACACACACACACACACACACACACACACACACACACACACACACACACACACTATCTCTACATTTCCGTCATCCTAAAACAACAATCGTGCTGCACGATACGTCAGGTTCCCCAAGTCCACCATCACACCACAGCACTACAGCACAGCACAGCATTACACCACACCCAAACAACCACACTAACATCACTATTCATGCGCTACACACCCCAGACCCACCTCACAAAACAACCACCCACACACTAGATCTCAACAATACCAGCTCACATAGCGACTTTACACACACCAACCCAACACTTAGCGGTCTCGCAGTACAGTAGGCTTTCTTCTCTACCCAAAATTTGAGATCCCGGTTTCAATTCCCAGGCGGGCCAGAAGTGGTTGGGCCTGTGTTCAGCCAGCAGTAAACAGGTACCAGAGAGTTAAGCAACTGCTGTGGGGGTAGCATTCTCCGGAAGGTCAGTAGTTCGACCGTTGGGGAACCTCGATGCAAGCCTAATGTGTACATAGGCTTCCTGTCCTCGACAAAACATGTGAGCGACCAGTGCTGGGGTACTCAGCGTCGAACCATCCCCCCTCCCCGCCAGTAAAATAAAATTAAACAGAAAGATTGAGAAAATACAGAGGTTTCATATAACTATTTACAAAATTGAGGTAACTTACCAATATTCTAAGATAAACTGAGGGAGTCGAACTTGATAACACTGGATGACAGGAAAAACAAAGGGACATGCTCCAGATATTTTATTTATTTATTTATATAAATACAAGAAGGTACATTGGGATTTTAAGGATACATAGCATAGTAATTACATTCTTGTAAAGCCACTAGTACGCGCAGCGTTTCGGGCAGAAATATAAAATACTCAAGAGGGGCATCACTAAAATATAAAGAAACAGGATGCATAGGCTGAACACTATGGTAGCGGTGGGGGGGGGGGGGGGGGTGGCAGACATGAAATCAGATGGCAAGTGTGTGCAAATACATTTCCTGTACAAGGGCAGAAAGCAGGTGGAACGAGCTAGAAGCAGCCACATCTATTCAGCAGTTTTATAAGCAGATATGAGCAGAAAGTCTTCTGAATTCATTGTATAACACGACCGACAGATAAAGGCCGGGGGTCAGTAGTTAGATACCCCCCTGCCCCTCCCCCCCAAAAAAATCGAAAACTGGCCGAAACGTAATGCGTTTTAGTGACTTTGCAAGAGTGTTACACTACAATGTGTGTACTTTCTCAACTCAATGTACCTTTTTGTACATAAATACAAATATAATAAATATAAAAATCAGTAAAAATAAACAAGTGCGCACAACCATTTCACTAGGCAAGACACCTGCGTAAATCAGCTGTACTGAAAGTGGGAGCGGGCACAGGTGTTCACAGAAGCCACGTTGCTAACATGACATCTGAAGGGTCGAACGCCAATTTAAAACAATCCCAGGGGGGGCTCAAACGCCCACCTAACACGACCCCAGGGGGCTCAAACACCCACCTAATACGACCCCAGGGGGCTCAAACACCCACCTAACACGACCCCAGGGGGCTCAAACACCCACCTAATACGACCCCAGGGGGCTCAAACACCCACCTAACACGACCCCAAGGGGCTCAAACACCCACCTAACACGACCCCAAGGGGCTCAAACACCCACCTAACACGACCCCAAGGGGCTCAAACACCTATCTAAGACGAAGGCACTGGGGGACAACTTTAAACGCATATTTAAAGTTATAAATAGTTGAAGATTCACTTGAATAGATGGGTAATATTTGTATCTTTTGAATGTGTGTCCTCATGTCTGTTTGGGCACGTACTCTGTGCCCTCATGTCTGGCTGGGCACGTACTCTGTGCCCTCATGTCTGGCTGGGCAATGTTTTATTACACTTGCTGTGTTTGTTTACTGAGCAGTCAATAGGTCACCCAGGAGTTTAGTGACTGCTGTCGGGTCATCTTGGGGGAGGGCAGTAGTAGGCCTAGAGGGCCCGTTAAAAGCCTATACCAGTCTTCCTGTCCTCGGCAATATAAAACCAAGTCTAGACTCGTTCACTTCTAACAGTATCAACAAGTCTAGATCGTCTTCACTGTCTACCACAGCACTGCTTTGACTCCTGTCATATATTGTGTGATATATGAGGCTGCGGAGGCCTGAGGACGGATGGGAAGGGAGGGTAGGGTTTTTTGGAAGGGATGACGAAGGGGGGGGGGTAATAAGATCGTAGAGATTAAGAAAGAAGTGGGAGAAGCGTGTATTTGCATGTGCGGTTGCATGGTAAAAGCCCGGAGGTATTATCGTATCAAGTCAGCAACCAATATAACTGCTCTATATGTTTTCTGAAAACAAAAAAGTAAATACGAAAAGTAGAAGAACGAATGCAAGTATGGAAGTGCCGGGCGACTCTCAGCCGTCGTCGCCTGGGTGTCCACAGCGCGCCAAGCCCGCAGAGCGCAAGGGTTACCTGGTTTGGCAACACTGTGCAGCACGTTGTCGAATAACACAAGTATCTCGGAACTTTAGTGGTGGCGGTACTGGTGTACAGGACAGAACAGCAGTGGTGGAAGTAATGGCGTACCGGGCAAAACAGTGACAAAGGAACTAGTGCACTAGACAAAACAAACAGAATGCAGACCACGTCATTCACCGCTATTAATCTAATATTATTAACATCTGTAAATCGCACGCGCCAGTCGGAGAGGTTGTAGCGAGACCAGTTTATCTCAATTCCCCGTGGGTAGATAAAGAAGCAAGATAAGATAACCGCATTCTCGATCAAAGGAGGAGGAGAGGGTGACATGTTAGTGGGTGTCTCCTCTCGCTCTAGCAGCAACATACTTCATTCACAGTCTAGTCGCATCGGTCAGGTGTACTCCAACACACCTGTACAACATATACACCTGTATCCACCTCATACTCAACCCATGAGCCCCAGTAACAGAAGGCACGTCATCTGTACGTGATCATCGCCTCCCTGGTTAACTCCAACAATGGGTTTGAGAGTAAGTGAACAATATTCTTTGGTAGCCGTTATAGTTCCTCTTCCTGTTTGTTGCTCTTCAGAACTCCTGTTTCGTTTATTTTCATGGTCATCAAAGTGAAACATTAACGAAGCACAGACTCTGAGATAGGTAATCAGGATGTATAATTAACCGAGGTGGTTCTTGCTTTTGGTGTTTCTGTATGCGTGTGAGGCAAAATGGAATGGCAGGATTCTTCATCAGCAACCTGACCTGTTTTCGGTACGAAGGTTTCCGCGTTTGGCAGATATATTTATGAGAGATATGTTTACTTGACACACACCATTCCTTGCAAGGTGATGGAGAAGATCGCGAGAAAAAACCTAGTAACACATTTGGAGAGAAAGGACTTCGTGACAAACCACCAACATGGGTTCAGGGAGGGTAAATCTTCCTCCTAGGTTTAATAGAATTCTACGATCAGGTGACAAAGATTAATCAAGAAAGAAAAGGATGAGCGGACTGCATTTTCTTGGACTGTCGAAAAGCCTTTGACACAATCTCAAGGGGCACACACACTAAGGGGCATAGGTGGAAATTGAGTGCCCAAATGAGCCATAGAGACATTAGATTTTTTTTTTAGTGTCAGAATAGTTGAGAAATGGAATGCATTAGACAGTGATGTGGTGGAGGCTGACTCCATACACCTGTACACCAGTTGTCCGGTTGACCGACAGTTGAGAGGCGGGACCAAAGAACCAGAGCTCAACCCCTGCAAGCACAACTAGGTGAGTACACCTGTGTGGCCTGACGGCTGAGCAGACAGCGCTCGGGGGTCGTAGTCCCAAGAGCCGGCGTTCGATCCCCGGCGGAGACAGTAACAAATGTTCAGAGTTTCTTTCACCCTGATGCATCTGTTCACCTAACAGTAAATATGTACCTGGGAATTAGACAGCTGCTACGGGCCGCTTCCTGGGAATGTGTGGGTGTACGCGCGTGTGTGTGTGTTAGAGAGAAATATATGTAGTAGCCAGGTTCGAACCCTCGTCACGGCCCTTGTGGATTTGTTCATATGTAGTAGCCATATTAGAGGAAAAAAAATAAATTGGTTAGAAAGGCACCTAACCCCCCCCCCCCCCAAAAAAAGCTAATAGCTCGATTCTGCAGGAACAAATATGACATACAAATACACACACAAATAAAAAGTTCCTGCCCCTCCCCTTCCCACAAGTTCAAGCCCGCCAAACACAGACCGAAACGACGTCGTTGGTACAACGTTCGAACAAGTTTTAACACCTAACCAGTTATAACAACCAATATAGCAAGTTGTAACAACGTTCTAATACGTCATAAATACGTAAAGCCAAGATGTAACAACTTTATTACACGTTGTAACAAGCGGAAAATAGAGACAGTTTCGGTTTGTGTTTCCAGCGAGTACGTTTACTGAGACGCTAAAATACGTCTCAAAAAGGCTAGAGTAGCCTAGGCTATTCCTACACTCCTCTCAGTCCCGTTGACGCCCGCTAACAGTTCTCAACAGTCGAGCCCTAAGTTAACGACCGCTTTCCTGTCGTTATCTACATTTCCGCTGAGGACCGATATAAGAGTTTTAACTACCACGGCTAAATTACACTTAAATTCATCGCCCATATACTCCTTCCATATACTCTGGTACTCCCCCTTACCATGAAAATCCCCTTTATACCCTGACAATCCCCCTTATACTCTGGCAATACCCCTTATACTCTGACAATCCTCCATCTCATACGTTAGGATTCCCCTACCTTATACTCTGGGGCACTTCTATCTCATAATTCGGGCTTCCCACCTCATATGCTAATATTCTCTCTCACCTCATACTCTTGGGGACTCCCCCCCGTCTCATACTCTTGGGGGCTCCCCATCTATCAGGTGTCACAGCTGCGTATGTGGGCCGAGCTCCATCTCCTGGCTACCAGCACAGGTTAGCATAAATAGAGTTGTCATTATTCCTTCACCTGCACCTCAAGTGTCATCTGTTATGGCTTTTCCTGTTGTGTTGGCCCGTTATAGTGAAGTCTTACCTCCGTACATCACACAGACCCATGTCTGATCCGAGTAGAAAAATCCAATTTCCTATTTGCAATTTCTCGTTAACATTCATCTTAAAAGTGGATATCGAGTTGAAACTTTGATTTAAAATGCCTAAGTTGATGATATTTACCCGATTCTTTGGGTATTGTGAGGTGGAACAATTGATTATTAGCAACAAATCATTTGGTGTCAGGTTCAACCCTACGAGAGTTAGAGTCTTGAGAGCAAATAAATGTTTTTAACCTGTACTCTTCATTAAAGACTTAAAACCACCTGAAATTCTAAATTCTCTATAATAACATAATATCCTCAGAGGCAGCAGTGGGGTGTTCAGTCGGGAACAGTTGTTATAACAGATTGATCTATCAATAAAAATGGCTTTATCGCATGCGGGTATAAATACATTCAGCGAGATAAAGTATGTTCTGTTAGCAGAGATAGAGATAATGGCATAATGTGTTCGTGTCGATAGTGGTGTATTTCCCTCCTCGGTGTAACATGCGATATTCCTAAGCGCTACGGGATCCTAACCAGATATTTGTGAATACTTGGGAGGTTTATTTGTAGCTTTTGAATATCTGAACTTCATGACTAACTGGCAAGGGAACTACGGTCAGTTAACGGTCATCCCGAGCAAAATAGTTTTCTAATATCTAGTGCTGATTAAAATCTAACAATAACATTTCAAAAATTAATGCCGTTTTCTTTCCTTTACCAGCAAAAGATGGTGGCGACGGCGGCGCTATGTGCGGTAAGCATTGTTATCTTCATCATCTACTCCGATATGGCGCCGTCCCAAGCTTTCTCCAAACGTTTATTTTACGGGCTTGAGACATTTTCGACGAGGAGTGCAAAACTGTAAGTACTTGCAAGTGCGAATCACTATGTGAATTTAGTTTATAGACCAAGTTGTATACGTTACTTAATCTAGTAGTTTCATTAAGTATAAGTAAAATGACATGCTAGGGTGTGATGCCCTGATAATACAGGTTCGAGCCCTGGTCGAGTTCTAAAGTGATTTATGGCTTTGGGCCCATAAAAGCTTTCTTTCACACACACAATTATATATATGTATATGTATAACAGAATCAAACCACTATGGATGGCCTTCTTACATTGAGCAGCAAGACCACGATAAAGTTAATGCCGTTGTCAAGCTTACATTCAATATAGACAATGTTGAACATAACCTTAGGCTTTCAAGTATAATGTGTGTGAAAATTTAGCCATTTAGATATAGACCTAGTTTAATTAGTTTAGTTCGCTTATTATGCACCCCATACCCATCCTGCGCGCGGTAGTGGAAAGGGTTACAGAGGCACATAATGGGCTCAGGGACTGAACCCCACAATTAATGTAGCTAAGCAAGTTACGATCTTTATGAGTCAGTTTTTAAAATTCAACACACACCGTCACATCAACAATGGGCTCGAGACCGACCACAAGTACAGTGTGTAAATTAAGCAACTGGCATATGTGGAAAGCTAGTGTCATAATTGATATGTCTATCCTGCACACCGGCCGCCCCCCCATCAAGTGGGCAGCATTGGAGAGGTTACAATCACTTTGTTACTACCTACAGTTAGCAAACGGGGGATATTTGGGTACAATTTCCAGTGTAGATATTTTTGAATAAAATATATAGACAAAAACGTGCGTTTCATGATATGGCAAACTGTTTTATTAAAATTGTAAAGTAAGTAATTTCCTGCACAGTACCCATATTTCGATTATAGTATGAATTCTGTAGATTAAAATAACACTAGTTGAAAATTGTGCTAAGTATTACCAAAATAGCTCAGGGATATTATATATATATATATATATATATATATATATATATATATATATATATATATATATATATATATATATGTGTGTGTGTGTGTGTGTGTGTGTGTGTGTGTGTGTGTGTGTGTGTGTGTGTGTGTGTATATCACGAAAATAAACACGTGATTAAAAATGTGACAGTGTCAGACCACGGAGGAAAATTGAAACAGGAATTTCCTTAAGTACTTTCGTAAATTAATACATCTTCAGAAGGAGTCCTCCGTGGTCTGACACTGTCATATATATATATATATATATATATATATATATATATATATATATATATATATATATATATATATATATATATATATATATATATATTCTTGCTGGTTGGTCAGTAAGCTGCTGTTGTTGCCTTAATAACCTTCCGTAGGCAGACAGGCGTTAAGCCCAACACCAAACCAAAACGGCTTACCTCTAATGTGTAAAAACAGTAACAGTGCCAGTAGCGTTCTGTTTCTAGCTATTCATTATAATTATACACAAGGTTTACAAATCAAGAGAGACAACCAATGTCAAACACCATCCACTGATTACGACCTCTTGCGCTATCGCTCACAGGATGAGTATTGGCTCTACACTAAATTTTTTATGTAATAATCTAAGATGAGGTCTGATAAAGGCCTTTTGTGCCCTCTGTAATGCTTTTGCGCTACCGCTCACAGGATGAGTATGGGGTGCACAATAAACTAGCCGCCTTCGGCGGCAACAATCAATCTACACTAAACTACCGTTTAAAGGATGAGTTTAAGGGCACACAATAAACCACAGCTCGAAGGATGAGTATGGGGAACACAAACACAATAAACTAATGAACATTTGATCATTGGAGTTATCTAATCCAAATGATTCTTGACTGCCAATTGATCTTTACAGAACAGAGAACAGAACTGAGATGCAAAGTAAAGAGGAGAATAACGCCTTAGAGACTAGTAGCGTCAGACGGGACCCGTCCCACAAAGACCTTGATAACGCCTCGAAGGTTAATGTCAAAATTGATCTACCCCAAACTGATGTAGATAATATCAAGGCAGATCCACTCCCTATAGCCCTACCTTCAAGATCGACCACGTTGGTAAATAACATCACATCACAATTCTTACTGCCGGGAGATTCTAATTTACCATATATCGAGCCAAACTACGAGGAGATAAAGCAATTGCCTGAGGACCTGTTTAATGAAGATCCACAGAAAATGGCGAAAATTGATCCTTTTAACCCTCCACTGAAGAAAATTTTGTTTTGGAATGAGGCAAGTATAGATTCTTATCTCTATAAAATGTAAATTCTAATGCTTATGATCATTATCTCCAAGAATTATTACTAACGGATAATTGCCCTTAAATAATTATCCTAAATTACTATGCCTTTGAATTATATTAAATTTTTACCACTTTGATTTCTAACCACTTGATTATTACCCCTTGGATTATTACACGTTTATCACCCACTAGAAGATTATTTCTTGGATTAATATCCACTAGAGAATTAGTCCGTAATTATTACCTCCTTAGGGACGTGAGTTTCAAAGCTCAGCGTCACCCATTTGAACTTACTGAACTGATATTTAATGTCACATTTAATCAATCTTATATTTAGGTATTAAATCCTTATGGCAGGACAGAGCGTTTGAGTACATTTCCTTTCAATTGATGCATCTGTTCAACCATGAGAAAGGTAGCTGTTGTGGGTTGCATCCTGGGAAAGATCAGAGTTGGTTTATGGGTACTTCAGTAATGCTAACAAGCTTCGTGTCCCAAACTGTGTAATTAAACAATGCTATTCCGTATGATCATGTCTTATTTAAACTAAAAGGAGGCACAAAGTAAAAGCCTGTCTTATTTTTTAATAATTAGTACCACATTAGTAACCCTCCATGCTGCAGAGATAACTCCAAAATTAACTGGTTCATTAATCAAACTTGTTAGAGAACTGCTACGTTCCCATTTCAATTTGCCTACAAACCTCAGCTTTAGTAACTAGTTGGATACTCAATTATTTTATACACTATAGTGCCTCTTATGGGGAAAATATTTACCCAACCACTTGGACTGGACGGTAGAGGGACGATCTCGCTTCTAGCAGGTCGGCGTTCAATCCCCGACCGTCCAAGTGGTTGGGCACCATTCCTTCCCTCCGTCCCATCCCAAAAACAGTCCCACGATCCCAAGTGCTATATAGTCGTTATGGCTTGGCGCTCTCTCCTGATAAATGCCTGGGAGGGAAAATATCTAGTTCATACTGCATGAAGATCAATATGAAATAGTCAATCGAAATGATGGCCATTACTGAGATCTCGCATGTATTTCCAGGCTTACAGCAATAAGCACTTCGGGTTCGGATTTGGTCGGGAGCCGTTCCTGCGGGCCGGGTGTCGGGTCAACACCTGCATGACGACGGGAGACCGTTCCAGGTTCCCTCTCAACGAAATTGACGCCCTGCTGTGGCACTTCCGATCTAACGACAGATCTCTCCCTCGTGTGCGGTGAGAATTCTTATATATTATATATATATATATATATATATATATATATATATATATATATATATATATATATATATATATATGTGTGTGTTCAAGGTTGGAGGCCGAAAGGTCAATTAGTTAGCTTCACGCATAGTGAATTATGATTGTATGGTCTAACAGGATGGTTAGGGGTCGACCCTATGCCCGTTTTTTAAGTAGGATGGCAACTTTTGCCATAAAAACAACTTATGAAGTCTGAAATGTGGGTTTGATTATCCATAGAGCATTTTCCAACTGAATTATTGGCTGTTATCAACGTTAAATCAACCTCAGTTTTCCTTATGGAAGACTAACGTGAAATATTTATCTATAAACAACCTAACTCTACGTGTTATAACAGCAACTTTATCTCTGCTTATCTTGGATGTTAAATTTTACAATATGTTTCTGGCAACGTCTTACTGAACCCGAGTTGATCGTCAGGTCTCCCCACACCCGCTATGTGTTCTGGATGATGGAGTCAGCTTCTCACCTCTACGGTAGAATTGACACGTACAATAATCTCTTCAACTGGACGATGACCTACAGACTTGATTCGGATTTTCCAAACCCGTATGTAGACAAGGTGATTTTTTTGTTTGTAATCACATGTATTGAATTGTGTAGCTAAATTAGCAATAAAAACAGTTGTTTGAAGACAGACAAGTAAACAGTATGGAGCTACAGTGAAAATTAGATTACAGGTGATATATAAAGATGTGTACCCCGTTTCTCGGTTTGTATGATCTTGAGAGTTTATTTAACTCCTGGATTTTATTAGGAGGCGAAGTATTGCCTGCTCGAAACGCTTTGCGTAATAGTGGCTTTAGGCATTGTATGTACTAGCTCTATCTATAAATTCATCAATATTTGTATCACACCTTGTAAGTACTTTACCTGAATAAATATTTGAATTTTTATTTTGAATTTTTGTATTCTTGGTGGTTGGTCAGGAAGCAATTGTGGGAGGCTTAATAACCCTCCATAGGTTGATAGGCCTTAAGCTCAACACCACACCAATACTCGCTACTCTGTGTATAATCGCTCGAGTTTACTTTGGTCCGAGTGTATTTTAGTCCTGGACTGTGTATAAGGCTTAAGTATACCTTGCTGGTGGACAGAGGCATCAGATATAAGGAAATCGTGCCAAAACTTCTTGCCAATGGCCAGGAATTGAACCCTAGGAACATTTGGTTGTAAGTCAACTGCGCTAACCATTGCAGGTTGCAGTTTGAGTATTAATCTAACCTTCACTCCGTCGTCGCCAGGTATGGCAAAGTCTACCGCCGCCGGAAGCCCCTCGAACCCATTGACAAGAACTACGCCGCCGGTAAGACCAAGATGGCTGCCTGGTTCGTCTCCAACTGCAATACCATCGGTGGCCGAGAGAAGTGAGTGAGCTTGTAACTAATTTTTTTAGAGTAACGAAAACAAGAAATCAAATTTTATACGAGAGTGACAAGGAAATCAAAGCCCTGAGTCTTCCCGCATGTCACAAACATGAGGTAGAAAATAATAACACTATTCATGATTCACATCTCTCTAATACAAAATACTAGGAAAGAGTTTAGTAATAAATGCCCTTCTTGCCTTGACAAAATACAAATATTATAACTCAGGAAATGTAATTTACGTATAATTTATTTTATGGACTTTCCATAATTCGTGCTTTTTCAAACTTGTTCCAAGCACCTGAATCATAAACATCAACTTGTATAAATGTGTGACATTTAAATGTGTGTATATATATATATATATATGTGTGTATATCACGAAAATAAACACGTGATTAAGAATGTGACAATGTCAGACCACGGAGGAAAAATGAAACAGGAAATTTCCTTAAGTACTTTCGTATATTAAATACATCTTCAGAAGGTAGACCTTCTGAAGATGTATTTAATATACGAAAGTACTTAAGGAAATTTCCTGTTTCATTTTTCCTCCGTGGTCTGACATTGTCATATATATATATATATATATTAGTATATTTTATATATATATATATATATATATATATATTAGTATATTTTGGTAGCAGTCTTTCCTGTAGACATATATTATTAAATATGACCGAAAAAGTAAGATTAATAATTCTAACACGAATTTTCTCGATGTTTCTTACGTTTCTTTTCACTGTTGATGGTAATTCAAAGATCAATTCTCCAAAATTCATTTTTATTTCTAGTCTGACGCGACACCCGAGCGCGTTTCGTAAAACTTATTACATTTTCAAAGACTTTAGTTTACAAACACACAACTGAAACTGAATAGAGCTTACACATCTTCGATTTTATATCTACATTTGGGTGAGGTGGATGAGGTGAAAACAAACTTTCAACAATGGGTATTGAATGGGTATTAAATTCAAACACAAGACAGAACACGAAACAATGGGTATTGAATGGAAGTAATTGTAGAAAGCCTATTGGTCCATATTTCTTGATGCTTCTATATTGGAGGGGAGTCTTGAAGTGGGTAGAATATAGTTGTGCATTAATTGGCTGTTGATTGCTGGTGTTGACTTCTTGATGTGTAGTGCCTCGCAGACGTCATCAAGAAGTCAACACCAGCAATCAACAGCCAATTAATGCACAACTATATTCTACCCACTTCAAGACTCCGCTCCAATATAGAAGCATCAAGAAATATGGACCAATAGGCTTTCTACAATTACTTCCATTCAATACCCATTGTTTCGTGTTCTGTCTTGTGTTTGAATTTAATACCCATTCAATACCCATTGTTTCGTGTTCTGTCTTGTGTTGGAATTTAATACCCATTGAATACCCATTGTTGAAAGTTCGTTTTTCACCCCATCCACCTCATCCAAATGTAGATATAAACCTCGAAGATGTGTAAAGCTCTATTCAGTTTCAGTTGTGTGTTTGTAAACTAAAGTCTTTGAAAATGTAATAAGTTTTACGAAACGCGCTCAAGTGTCGCGTCAGACTAGAAATAAAAATGAATTTTGGAGAATTGATCTTTGAATTACCATCAACAGTGAAAAGAAATGTAAGAAAGATAGAGAAAATTCGTGTTAGAATTATTAATCTTACTTTTTCGGTCATATTTAATAATGTCTACAGGAAAGACTGCTACCAATATATATATAAACACACGCACACACATTTGAGGGTTTACTTTAGATCCGGATAATGTTCAAAGCTAAACTATTCTTGCGGGTTGGTTTGTAAGCAAATGTGGTGACCTTAATAACCCTCCAAGGGTGATTATCCTGGAGCCCAACGCCACACCAATCAAAAAGTAAGAACAATTACTTAGTAGAGCAATTAAAGTAAAAAAATTCTGGCCCCGACGATATATATGGTAGGGGTTGTAAATTATGTAAGAATCTTGATCTTAAACTTTTGGTAAATCTGTTCAATAAATCTTGTCACACATTTTACTAGATCATTGACCTCAAAATGCTGTGAAATTAGTTGAACGTCAATGATGGAGAAAGCTTAAACCAATATTTCTATATTTAGTCAAGTCTCAGCCGAGTCTAAGCCTAGGTAGGCTTAAATTCGGTAAGGTAGGTAGGCTTAGCAGTGGTAACGTCTAGAAGTCTGTTAACTGAATGATCCATAGATGTGCAGTTCTCTCTGGCATAATAACGAATATATTTTTGTTTTAGTGTTACTTATATGCTTTTCAAAGTGTCTCGCGCTATCATTCTGTATTTGTCATTATACTATCATGGACAATTGCCTTTCAGGTTAGTCAAAAACTTGAGAAAATGGATTCAAATCGACCAATACGGACACTGCAGTCATCTGACGTGTGAGAGGAAAGACCTAAGCAAATGCCACGCCATGCTCTCTGCTGACTACAAGTTCTACTTTTCCTTTGAGAACTCGCTCTGCCGGGATTATGCCACGGAGAAGTTTTTTAATATGCTTGGGTACTTATTCTATATCATTTGTCCAACCACTTGGAGAGGTCGATAGATCGGCGTTCGATCCGACAGTCCAACGGGATGGACACCGTTCCTTTCCTCAATAGTCGTATCCTAACACCTATCCTGTTCTCATATCGTTTGTATGTGCAGTATTGCCAAGCTTGCTTAGCATTTGCTTCTGATAAGTCATATTTTCAGTATCATTCAAAATCAACCATTCCTCCCTAAAATTATAGTTCCAATTGTGACAGCGTTATATATACAAAATATTGACTGTTACACCAAACAAGGTATTTTTTTTGGTACCATTGGAATCCTGAAATGCATATAAAACTGCAACAATCTAACCTCTTCCAGACCTAATATAAACAATGTTAGGCTTTATTTAGCACGTATAACCTTTCCTAGGCCTCAGAGAGGTTAATGTAGAACAACAGTTCACATTTTACCCCGAAACGCTGTGCGTATTAGTGGCTTTAGGCATAGTGTATGCTAGCTCTATTAATCTAACATTCTGAAACTCATTATGAATGTAATTTTACCTAAATAAGCTAATTATTATTATTATTATTATATATGTACTAACAATTTTAGAGACTACGTTGCTCAAAATATTTGGTCTTCAAAACATTTAGAATTTTGCTAACTTCCATAAGTTATGTAAAATATTCATAAAAGAATTTCAATAATGCGCCTCGTTTTAGTGCATTTTAAATTATCACAAATTCTAAAATTTAATACAGAGTTTATCTTTAAGAAATCAATACACGCAATGCAATATATAGGCTATATAAATTGGCATTTTTGTTTATACAATTATGTACAAGTGAAAAATGCAGTAATTAGTTATATACTAACAACTGAACGTGATAATATATACATAAACATATACGTGACGTCTGTGTTTACACTGAGAACTCATTTAGGTCCTGACTTATGCTTAGTATAAAGTATCTTTGCTGGTTAGTCAGAAGGAATTTGTGGTTGCCTTAATCCTCCAGAAGTTGATAGGCCGCAAGCCCAACACCAAACCATAGCGCTTTAAAAACTAGCGATAAATTACAAAACTTTAATTGTGCAGTCAATTTATGTTAGGTCAAGTGGTACTGATAAGGTTGTGTTACACTTAAGAAGTTAGGTATTTTATTCCAGCATGGCTCGGCATTGGCCGAACCTTTGCATTGGATGGTATTGAAAATTTAGATCCTACAAGCTGGACAGCATTAGATAGTTAAAATTCAAATGTTTATTTAGGTAAAGTACATACATACAAGGGGTGATACAGATTTTGTTGAATTTATAGATAGAGCTAGTACATACAATGCCTAAAGCCACTATTACGCAAAGCGTTTCGGGCATAGTGTAGTGTCTGGTAGGCTGGACATGTGCAAGGTAGTGTGGTGTCTGCAGTAATGTATGGTATCTAAGAGGTCAGGTCCACCGGTGCCTTGGGTGGGGCATGATGCTGATTAGCAAATCTAAGACCACATCTGGTGTGAGCCTCCATGGCACACCCAGCTGAGGGCTGCTATCTCCGTGGGTGCTCCGAAAGACGAAATGTTGTCACAAAGATCCGATTCCTTGCCTCAATTGCCTAGTCTGGTCATAACGATTTAAATGCCATGCAGCTGGGTCTAGCCCTGGCACTTTACCTCATACTGAAAACCCTTCCTTTCACCCCCACTAATTCTTCTCCTATCCCCACTTCCACGCTCACCCAAATAGGGTATATTGACCTATATTTAATTCATTCATTCATCCGGTAGGTTGGATGTGGTTCCTGTCGTCTACGGTTTTGGTAACTACTCAGTTCAGGCGCCGCCACACTCCTACATTGACGCTCTCAGCTTCCCCACGGCCAAGGCGCTGGCCGACTACCTCATCTACCTTCATAAGAACGACACCGCCTACAATGAGTACTTCAGGCAAGTGTTAAAAGATTCCTTTGATTTTTTTTTTAAATCATGCAACGGAATACATAAATACGCATAACAATAGCCCATTGTTTCTAGAGCTTAAGATCATACAACCTAATGATATTTCATCCCAAATTCTTTCCTTTAATGATCAGCAATGTTCTGATGAAATTCATATCAAACGATTTTCTCTAAACAACAATTTGCTGTTGAAGCACATATGAATGACCTTTAGCACCTGTTTTTTTTGGCTGTAATTTTGCACTAGTTACCCATCACAAAATATTATTAGAGGGGCTCTGTAATTTTGTTTTTAAGGTAAATGCTACATTTGTGAAAGCCTGACGATACGAAATGCTTTTTGTCCTCAGATGGAAGAGGTTTCATTGGCTTGTTGATCACTGGGCCAAAGTGGCCAAGCCTTACTGCGACCTGTGTGAGCGGCTCCACAACGACAATACCACCAAAGTATACAACCTGAAGAAGTGGTTTGTCGACGACTCACACTGTAAGAGCAGCCAGAACAAGAAAATCAACGCCTTCATTCACGGGTACATCATCACCAGTAACATAATCGTCCCATTTTTAATAATTTTCGCCATGCTGATCCTGTTCCTGTGCTTGCTCGCCTCGTTGGCTGCATTAGTGCAGACCGACTATATTAAATATAAAATCCTGGACCAAAGTTTACGGGGATAGTCATTTGCTGATGCCCAAAGAGATTTTGATTTACTCTGCAGTGTCTCCATGAATGTGATACAATTATAGACGTCACAGATAGATTCGATGTCACATATGATTCAAAAGAATACAATTCGTATTCTGCTCAATAGCCTCAGTGTTAAGGTTTAAAATAGCAATTCAATCTTGTTCACGGTATGCGCTACAAAACTAAACACTGTACTTTAATTTGACTATATGAGAGACGGAAAAACATTTACAGAGGACACACCTTATACTATTTTAACGTGTCAGGCTGTTGTGTTTTTGTAATTCTTGCAGCTTGCTTAGTCATATACCAAGAACACACACAGATGAGATGAAGTGCGTTACCACACCAGCCCGTTCTCCTAATTTTTCACAACGTCAAGAAAACGACCATTTTAAAGTGTCCCTCCAAATTAACCTACCAGAGGACCCAAAACAGAAAATGGGATAGTACGTCACTTTCGCGATTCGCATCCATTTTCTAGTACGACAATTTTTGGCCTTATGTAACACATACGGGCGAAAAGGGATATTCTTAGTAAGAGGACAGGTTTCTCCCAAAGGCACTTACCTGATCTCCTGTAATAATATAAACTCCACCATACCTAGCATTCATTCAATCATCCCGTGTGTTTGGGCATTTCCTTGGTTCTGGGTCAGGAATGTTAAGCATTTGTTTACACCCTATCTCAGGAATTATAAACTCAATCGAAGAAGATGAATCATAATAACGTGGCTGAAGATTTTTTTATATTTTAATAATACATTAGGTACTCCAAAGGATACCTGATCAACCAGGCTGTGACTCATACGTCAGGCTGCGAGCAGCCGCGTCCAACAGCCTGGTTGATCAGTCCAGCAACCAGGAGGCCTGGTCGACGACCGGGCCGCCGGGACGCTAAGCCCCGGAAACACCTCAAGGTAACCTCAAGGTAGGTACATGCGCATTAGTGCAGCTACCCTAGACTATTTGAAGTGGAGTACAGTGTGTCAAAAAAGTTAACTAGGTGATGCTAAAAAATCCCCATCACACAGGATGCTTAGCCATACAGAGGCATGTGATAGGCAGTGGCTGAAGATATGATATCCAAACCACACATCACAAAATAAAGAAAATGCAACGTCTCGGTCCGTCCTGGACCATTACATAACTTGATAATGGTCCAGGTCGGACCGAAACGTCGTCGTCTCTTCATTTTCTGATGTGTGTTTTGGATATCATAAACTCAACCGATTCAATATCGGAATTTAAGATCAAATTATCTCAGTCTGCCGTTATATTAGTGACCACTGGATGACAATACTTTTATGTTCAATATAGAGTAGTAGTTTCTTGCCGTTTTCAATTGATTAATCAGTCGTGGTAAAATCTAACTCAATAGTGATATAATATAACTCATTTATGATATCAATAAGATATCAAAGGGAGAGGAATGGTTTATTCGCTTTCATTCTTAAGTTTATGACATTATCGTATTTTTAATGTCGAACGGTAGGTTATCGGAGCTTGGGGCCATTCACATCACAAAACAGTTTCAGAGAATGGTCGATCAGTTGTTGCAATTAGTTTTTTTGGTATTTACCTGCTGGTCACTGTATTTACCTGTCTACCTCATATTTTGAAGAGATATATTGATTATAGATATTTTGTTCACTCTACTGATGTTAGTTTGAAGAACAAAAGAACATAAACAATTAAGAAAACTGCAAAAGGCTCTTATTAGCCCATACGAGGCAGCTTCTGTTTTATGTCCACCCAAACTCATTCATATGCAGGCGATGAGTCACAATAACGTGGAAAAAGTATATTGACCAGACCACACACTAGAAGGTGAAGGGACGGCGACGTTTCGGTCCGTCCTGGACCATTCTCTAGTCGATTGTGGCTTCATGTGGCGAAACATCGTCGTTTCTTCACCTTCTAGTGTGTGGTCTGGTCAACAAACTCATTCATATAAATGTATAACCTAGGTAAATGCTTTCTCGTATCCTAGCTTGCCCTGGTAAGTGCTTATCGTGTCTCAAATGCGAGTTTAAAGAACCTAGTTCATATATCTTAAGTGCAGGGTCAATGTGTCCGCATACCTTGAGAGGTACCTTAAATTAGTTTCGAGGATTACTATCCTCGCTGTCGCATCTTTGATCAGGCTTACTAGACAACTAAGCTTTTAAATGTCGTTGTACGCAGTCTGACGAATGTTTATTGATGGAATTGATTGAATATGGGTTCCATGCTGTAGCTGTAGCGTGGTTGTTGCAATATAAATATGTGTAAATATATATAAATATATTTCGTGTTAAACGATAAAAGTATTAGACTTAATGATTCTGGCACGAATCTTCGATATTTCGTATGTTTTTCTTCACTGAAGCAGGAAGTTTAAAAATTAACTCTCCAAAAGTTCATTTTTACTTACACACAGAAAGTAAGGGCGAAGAGGGAGAACGACCTATTGACATAGCTCATTTTTACTTTTTATTGCATCTGCATTGCGCCTAATGAAAAGTTTTATATATAAAACTTTTATAGACTGATATAAAACACATATATAGGTTTTTATGATTGAGTTTATGATAATAAATCACTGGACTCACATTCTTAATGACAAATTCAACTGTGCTTAACACCTGGTTATATCCTCTAATGGTGAGGTTTTACCTAACAAACCACTCACCATAAGAGGATGTAACCAGGTGTTAAAGCATGGTAGACTTTGAGAATGTGAGGTGAATGTGAACCTTACGAAACGCATCATTAGGCGTCAAGCAGGCGCAATAAAAAGTAAAAATGAACTTTAGAGAGTTAATTTTTAAATTCCCTGCTTCAATGAAGAAAAACATAAGAAATATCAAGAAGATTCGTGCTAGAATCACAAATCTAAAACTTTGTCGTTTTCAACGAAATATGTTTAAAAAGACTACGCCCAAAATATTAGGTTAGGTATATATATATATATATATATATATATATATATATATATATATATATATATATATATATATATATATATATATATATATATATATATATATATATATGTCGTACCTAGTAGCCAGAACGCACTTCTCAGCCTACTATGCAAGGCCCCATTTGCCTAATAAGCCAAGTTTTCCTGAATTAATATATTTTCTTTAATTTTTTTCTTATGAAATGATAAAGCTACCGATTTCATTATGTATGAGGTCAATTTTTTTTATTGGAGTTAAAATTAACGTAGATATATGACCGAACCTAACCAACCCTACCTAACCTATCTTTATAAGTTAGGTTAGGTTAGGTAGCCAAAAAAGTTAGGTTAGGTTAGGTAGGTTAGGTAGTCGAAAAACAATTAATTCATGAAAACTTGGCTTATTAGGCAAATGGGGCCTTGCATAGTAGGCTGAGAAGTGCGTTCTGGCTACTAGGTACGATATATATATATATATATATATATATATATATATATATATATATATATATATATATTGAAAAAGATTAATAAGCGCCATACATGATATTGGTGCTTGGAAACTGTATGTACATTGTTTGATCACCACATCAATCAAACTGTTTAATTATTAACAAATTATTCCAAATATTTTATCCATTTTTTTCAATGGTTTGTCCTCAGAGTGAAGTAGTCGTATATTTTAAGAGGTCTTCCTTGTCACATATTTTATGCATTAATTAAACATTAGCATTTTATTCATTCGTCAGCTAATTTTTCTTTGAGTAAATTATCAAATTATCCAGATCCAAATTATCCCTTGCAAACTATCCAGAGAGGATAACTCAATTCTTTTATGCACTCCTTCAGGACCCAATGTGATACTTCAGTTAATCCCATTACTTATGTAATTATGTCTTTTAATAAATTATTGACTCCATCTGTTATTTTAGTAGAATCTATGTAACTTTGTCATTGTAATTTGTATTCCAGTATTACATGTTCCATCAACTTGATACGGATAACTTTTCTTCCATACTCTGGAATATAATTCATTGTGTCGGGGGGGACAGGCAGCCAGTGAATATATACATGTTAAGCTTATATCGAGGTCTCATCCAAAGATCGAATTACTGATCCTCCACAAGATGCAACTTCATAACAAGCTAACTCCTGGGTACCTAGGAGTTGGTACCTAATTCTCCTATTTACTGCTAGGCGAATAGGCGAATTAGGTGATAGACAACCGTTTCTGTCCCGCCTGGGATTCGAACCCGGACTTCCCGACTGAGAGTAGTTTCTCTTTGGTTTTGGGCTGAACGCCTATCAACCTCTGGAGGCTTATTAATGTAACAAAAACATCTTGCTGACCAACCAACAAGTATTCTTTAGTCCTGAATACTGTCTTCTGTGTATATATTCCGTGTGCCAAATGTTAGCTTCAAGGTAGGCTACTTTTTTTTTTTTGAGGGATATTCCTGCGCGGGCCCTAAGCCTCTGGCTGGCCCACTAAGTGTTGCTTGTTTCTGTTTTACTTGGGTGGAGTATGAGTATTTATGACTCGTATGGTCGCTTCAGTTAGATTTTGCCATGTGTGTTTAACTTCTTCTGCTGTGTTGAATCTAAGTTGAAATCTTAATGGGTTTGCAACTGTGCACTGTGTTAGATAATGTTCCAGTGGTCTGTCGGGCATTTCTCCACAGTGCTGACATTTCCTCTCATCTTCCGGAACCTGTAAGCCTATTTCCCATGCACATGGGTATCCAAGCCTGATGCGATGTAAGTGTACTTCTGTTGCTCTACTGCTCCCTTTCATCAAACTAAGTGGTTCGTAGTTGGTTGAATTCTTGTACCAACCCGCAGATCCTGATGTTGCAACTGCTGTGTTGTGGTCACTGTACATCTTTTGCATTGCTCCGTTTCTAATTACTTTCTTAATCTGTGATAGACTCTGTGATAAGGAGCCCATCTCCTTGAGTTTTATCTTTACTGCTAAAACGTATATCTTTTCGTGTAAATTATGCAAAGATGTTATGACTAGCGTGAATTAACTCTTATGTTAAACTCCAGAAAAAAAATATATGATTTAATTAAATCACTGGACTCTAACGTCAGAATAATAACAAAACTGGCAAACACAAACAATATTAAAAATAAAAACCCCTTAGATCTTGAGGTACGGAACAATGCCAGAAAGTCATTTAATGGAGTTACTTCAGTAATTACATAAACGAGAAAGGCCGTACAAAATTTACTTAAATTAAATCACTCGGAGTTTAGCACCCTTAAGATACATTTAAACATAGAGCATTGATGTTCGCCAGACAACAGCACCAAATGACTTAATAAATCCAATTTATAACTTACCTGCAAGCAGCACTTCCGCCCTTTACCAGCGTCCGCAATCCTCTGGCTCACAAGGGAGCTGGACCCTCCATTGTGGCCTACAGTAACACCAACAGTACCAAGTTAAAAAACAAAATTCGGATCTATACACAACTGGCCAAAACACCAACATATAATAAATAAAATTGCCTGTTCACACACTGAACTAATAATTAATACTTCAACCGGCCAATAACACACGTAAAAATTTTTATTATCTCATAGTAAAATATATACAGATGGCAATTCTGAGCGTCTGGCCAGCAAGTAGCTGTCTCCACTCGTCATGCTAACGACCCTCACACATATATGAACAAGCATAGATACCTCTCCTCACACAACTAATGATCAATGAATGAGCAATGCATGCTTATATATATTTTAACAAGAGTAGGCAACTTCGTGAAAAAATATATATATTATGAAATGAATAGTTATTCAACAATTCTAAATCTACTGTAACTCTCAGTAGAACAAATAATATTACTTATTGATGTAGAAATAAACTCAAAGTTATCCACAACTATGCCATGTAA